CACCAAGTGGATCAAAGACATCAATGTAAAACCTGATACTCTGAAACTGTCAGAAGACAACATAGGCAATCCAAGATATAGGTTGAAGCAAGAACTTTCTAAATTGGACACCAGCTGCTCAGGCACTAAGATCAACAATCAATAAGTGGGACCTCATTAAATTGCAAAGTTTCTGTATAGCAAAAGGAACAACAAAGGAAGGGAAGAGGAAACCCACTGAGTGGGAGAAAATCTTCACCAGCTACACATCTGACAGAGGATTAATATCCAGAATATACAAAGAACTCAAAAAAGAAAGAAAGGAGAAAATAAATGACCCAATACAAAGATGGGCAAGGGGTTGGGGATTTAGCTCAGTGGTAGAGCACTTGCAAGGCCCTGGGTTCGGTCCCCAGCTCTGAAAAAAAAAGAGAAAATAACAAAAAGATGGCAATAGAACTAAACAGAGAGTTCTCAAGTGAAGAAATAAGAATGGCTAAGAGCACCTTAAAAGTGCTCAACATCCTTAGTAATTAGAGAAAAGCAAATCAAAACCACTTCATGACTTCATCTTACCCCTGTCAGATTGGCCAAGATCAAGAGAACGAAAGACTCCAAATGCTGGAGAGGATGTGGAGAAAGAGGAACACACATTCACTGCTGGTGGGAATGCAAACTTGTGCAACCACTGTGGAAAGCAGTGTGGAGAACCCTCAAAAAACTAAAAATGAGTCTACCACACAATCCAGTGATACCTCTCTTTGGCATATACCCAAAGGAGTCAGCTGTAGAGATACCTGTACATCCATGTTTGTTGCTGCTCTCTTTACAATAGCTAAGAAATGGAAATTATGTAAATGTCCCTCAACTGACGAATGGTTAATGTAAACATGGTACATCTACTCAATTGAGTTCTACTCAGCAGTAAGAAAAGATGGAATTATGAAATATGCAGGCAAATACATGGAGCTAGAGAGTGTTCTACTAAGTGAAGTAACACAATTACAGGAAAGCAAGTGATTTATGCTTTCCCTCATTTATGGATTGTAGCACCAATCCCTTATATGTGAGTATATACATTCTGAAGTAACACCAGGAGCCAGGCAGAGGCAAAGGATACATGGAGGTAAAGGAAAAGAAACAACCTGAAAGGGGAATAATAAGGAACAGAGATTACCCGAGGGAGGTGGAAAAATTGTGAGTAATTAGCAGGGAGGAGAGGAGGGAGGGACATTCAATGAACCATAGTGTGGGAGCAGGGGAAGTCATGAGAGAAAAGATGGGGGGATGGTGAGGATAATAGGGGAACTGTGACTAGATATGCTGGGAGGAGGGAGGCTGGATGGGAAGAAGAAGAGTAAAGATTAGTGAATCTCAGGGGGCGAGGAAACCCAGAAGGAAAAGTGATGCCCTAGACACACTGTGCGAAATGCACGTAGAATGTCTGAACATTAATGTGTATGTATACCTAGGAGTTGCTTGGAAAGGAGCGCAGTGCAAGATAGAAGAGAACTGTTTTAGAGTGAAACATGCTGTAAAGCACTCACCAAAGCTTCTTATTGCAATAGTTGGAGGCAACTGCAGAGTTGCACATCTGGTCTGGCACAGAGAACATATACCTGGGAGATGCCCAGTACTAGGTGACACATCTGTAGCCAAATCTCTACAACCAAGGATCATGGAACACAGTGGAATAAGGGGTAGAAAGAGGGATAATGCATCCCTTAACTCTTGCTAGTGAGGCTTCTGTGTACATCAGAGAGATACACAGAGAAGGCCTCAACTGGCCAAGTTTTGGAGAATAAGAGAATTTAGAGTGTAGGATGGGACTCCTATATGAAATATCACCCACACACAGATCAGGGATCATCGCAGAAGAGGAGGCTGAAAGATTGTAAGATCCAGGGCTTGTTCATGAATGTAAGGAGGTGGAGGATTCCAGGCCACTGGAGGCTTGTTCATGTGCACCTGTGGCAGGGATAGCATTGAATGCGGGACCCATGTCAGCTCAATTAAGCAAGGGCCCGAAGGGGAGGTAAGGAATAGGTGGCAGGTCAGCACTAGATTGAGAACCATTTGAAGCTGTTTGCTGCTGGGTGAGGGAAGAGTATGATTTACGTATGACTACTGGATAGCTGACTAGACCCAAGTGGACACATTTACACTGAAGGACATTTGGGTACAAACACCTGAATGAATAGGACTCAGCATGTAAGGCAGAGTGCATAGAGTTCAATGGAAGGAGGAGAGGAGGCATGGGTGGGGGATGGTACTGAAGGACATTTGGGTACAAACACCTGAATGAATAGGACTCAGCACGTAAGGCAGAGTGCATAGGGTTCAATGGAAGGAGGAGAGGAGGCATGGGTGGGGGATGGGGTCTGGATGTAAGTGGGAAATGCTGTATTAAATTTTAAAGGCTCACTATAATAATACCTTGTATCAGTATCTTACAGTTTTCAATGTACAGACCTCCCTATTCTGGTTCAAGTTATTGCTGTATTATACTTTTTTGATAGTGTGGTAAGTGGGTTTACTTCCTTAATTTACTTTTTTGAATAGTATGTTCGTGCATTTTTGTATGTTGACTTTAAATGATGTTTACTGTATTTTATTAGTTCCACCAGTTCTTTAATGGTTTGAGTTTTCTATATATAAGATTATGTCATTTGAAGACATGACTTCAAAACCATACCAACACAAAGATCAAGATTAATTGACTTCATTGATAAATTCTACTATGCATGTAAATAATCAATACCAATCCCTCTCAAGGTCTTCTAAGAAATCAAAGAGCTGGGAATGCTTTGAAACAAATACCATGAGTCCACATTGCCCCTACATCAAAGATAGTTAAGGAAACCACAAGGAAAGGAAAGTACAGCACAATATCCCCATGAACATACTTGCAAAAATCTTAGCGAAATAGTACAAACTATATTTAATAGCTTATTGAAAGAATCATATATTGACCAAATTATATTTTTATGGTTTGTGAGAATGCACCACATATATAAACTAATACTTGTGACACATCACAGGGAAAGAATGATTAGTAAAATTCATGATCATTTCAATAGGAGCAGAAATTCCATCCAAGAAAATTTAACACTCCCTTTATGGTAAAAATAAATAAATAAATAAAATAACCTTGAAGAAGAGGCAGACAGAGCTCTGTGAAATCCAGGTCAGCTTGGACCACATAGCGAGTTCCAGGATGGCTGGGGCTACAGTGAGATTCTGTCTCAAAAAGACAAAAAATTAAATAAAAAAATAAATATCCTATCAAGATAGAATCTAATTTGCTTTACTAAAAAGTATGTAGCTAGCATTATGATAAAGGGCTCGAAACATCTCCCCAAGTTCCAGTGCATAACAACAAAGCCAGGCTCACAGCTCATATTCAGAATAATACTGAAAACCAGAGTATTCAGACTAGAAAAATCAATGAAATGCATCCATACAACAACAAAAAAAATGAAAAGAAAAAAATCAAAAGCATGATTTTTGGAATGAGAAGGTTTTAAAAGTATACAGATTGATTCTTTTCTGAATTGAGGCTTCTTGTTTGGGTATCTAGATAGGATGATGTTTGTGCTATTTACTTGCTATGAAAACTGAGCAAAATAACACGGTAGGAGCCATCAGCTTATATCAGTAAAAAAAAACAAAAGTATGAGAGTATATTTATCATATAATAAAACAGCTAAAATTCAGGAATGAAATATTTTTCAAAGCACAAAACTATATTTATTGGAACAGATAGCTCATTGTTAAGTGTTTGATACACAGTCATGAGGACCTAAGTTCAGATGCCCAGCATTCAAACTAAAAGTTTTTTGGCATAGAGGCATGTGCTTGTATTTCAGTGCTGGAGTTAGAGATTGATGGAACCTTGAGGCTTCCTGCCAGCTAGTCTAGTTGAAAGAGCAAGCTCCAGGTTCGTTAAGAGACCTTGTCTCACAAATAAGGTTGCCAGCAATAGAGAAACATACTAACATCAAAGTCTGGCCTCTTCACATATACATATGGGCAAGCATACCAGGACACACACATGCACTCACACTTGGACACACATATACACCTACACACACAAACACATTTATCAACTTATTAATACTGTTGGTAAGAATTTTATCTCTAAATGGGTCATATGATTTCATAGGGTTTCCAGTAAATTCAATTTTTGTGCTATTTGTTGTTGAAAATAAAATTTGTTCAAATATTGCCTTTAGCTATTCAACTGAAATGATTTTTCCCCAAGTGATCAGCAAGGGTATTCTGTTCATTTAAGGTCAGTCCTGAAAGGTGATTGCCATCATTTCACAATATTTTTTTTTTATATTTGAAGTAATTTTCCATAAAAGTTTTCATCTGTAGGATTGAAGCTCTTATAATGCAGTAAGAAAATTAGGATACAGTCTTTTGGTCATGCATCTGCCTATGTTTTCTCTTTTTATGAAAGTGTCAGTGAAGAGATTTTCTTGCCCAACATATGAATTACATTTCTGAATGAATTAGAAAATAGAATCACTGAGAACTTGAGATTTAAAACTAATAACATTGGTCAGAACACACTATTCTTCACTATGCTGCTGGGGATTAGGATGTGTCAAAGGCATTACACCATCTTTAAAATACTATTTTAGACATTAGTGTCAAGTATCCGGTAGCCCTGTCATTTGGAATAGGCTGATTGAAACACATAAAAATCTGTGTTAAAAAGCTAAAGATCTAGAACTCAAAGGAGCTCAAGACATTTTTTCAGATAAAATATTTTAAAGTAAACCATATTTTTCAAATATATAAAAATTATAAAAAGTAAAAGCTATGCCTTCTTACAAATATTGCACAATCTTAGTATCCTCTTTAAAAACTAGCTAGGAGTAGCCTTAATTAGATAACCTTTCAGAATTCGGAAAATAAAATTCTAAGTCACCTAGATATTATTTTGCAAAATTTTGTTTTTTTTTTTACTTAACATATTCCATTGCTTTGTTTGTCAAGATCTGAATTTTTTGGCTAAGAATTATTTCTTTAACAAATCCCTTCTTGCATATAGGTTGCTTTCAATATCCTGCTGCTGCAACTCAGAATACGAAAATTTTATCACACATACATGCTCTCATATTTATACAGGTATTGTAAATAGGAAGACTTTTTGACTATGGAATTCCCAGTGAAAGGATATGCAAAGTTTACACAGAAGTTGCAAACCACCCTTCCCCCCAACAAGAACTTTGACTAAGCTCCATAAGAACACATAGAATGTATTTTTCCTGATATGATTGTCTTATTATTTCCATCCTTTGGGAGCATGAAGGGATTGAAAATGCACATCAGCAATTCCAAGCCAAAAGATACAACATGGTTAGATAGAGGGATTAGGACCTAGAAGAATCTCTTAGAAGAAAAATCAGTTGGATTGAAGTCAAACTTCTCTTGTTATGGAGCACAAGAAATACTTTTAATAAAAAGAGATTGTCAGTGGAAAATTTTGAGTAATAACTATAACTAAATTTCCAAGACATGTAAAATGTCACTTTTTCTTTTCTGTGGCCCCTCCATAGCATACAAAATATTGAAATGAATTTATGAATATAGGAAATCCCTACACAGAAGTCTTTTTCTGGTTACAATTTTACATCACCTGAATGCAAGCTCTACTTTGATTTTTATCTTTTGGAGACAGTAAAAGGAGACATGGTGTGTTCTTACTTCAGATGATTATCTTGGCAACATTCTTACACTACAGAAAATTAAATGTGCTTATGTACATGTGCACATGAGTGAGTAGGCTTGTCTCTTTGTGTGTTTTTGCATGTGTATGTATTTGAGTATGTGAATGTACATGCATGAAGAAGTTTTAGAATTCCATTATTAGAATTCTTCACAGCACGTGGCTGGAAAAACTCATGAATGAAAAGTTCACAGGTTTATTAGTACATAAAATCAAAATCCAGTGTCCCCTGATGTCCCTCAGTGTGCACTCACCCACTGGGGTCTAGTCAGCCTATCTAGAGTCATTATCCTAACGAATATCATCTCTTCCTCACCCAGCAGTAAGCTTCCAATATTTCTTTGCCTAAGTTTGGGTAAGTTTGGTTAAGTTTGGCTGCTCATTTCCCCAGTTCTATGGTGGGTGTTTATCTGCTTCTGTTTGCATTGGTCTTGTGCATGCTTACACCATTGCTGTAAGTTCCTATGAACAGAGTCCCAGGAGCCTATAGGATTCTATTTCCGTATGGTCATGCACCTCCTCCTCTGGCTTTTACAGTCTTTCAGCCTGCTCTTTTGCAATGGTCCTTGAGCCCTGGGTTCATCGCTCTCTTTTGTGGTAGGTCTTAATCTAAATAACCAAATGAAGAAATCTGGGAAGGGGGTATAGGAGCGTGCCTATAGGGAAGGGGGATATAAAGAGGACTATGATAAGGTGTATGGAATACACAAAAAATCAATTAAAATATATTAAAAAATAAAATCAATGTTGAATCAAGTCTAGTGGGTTACAAAATGTATTACTAACTTTACTAAAAATAAGGCTCACCAATTTATTACTCCTAAAAAGGAAGCATAGTTCTAAAATATTATCCAGTAGATAATTAATTTTCCTATACATATTCCAAAAACTTGAATTGATAGCTAGCCCTTAAGGCTGCAAGCAATATAAAATCTTCCTAAAACAGGGTGGAGGTGAACCTAAGTAGCTCCTTTTTCATAAGTCATTCTCTACATCTCTTACATCCTGAAAAAGGCTTATCATTTTATTAATAGCCTAATGCCTGAGAGTGATGTACAAGATTATTTTGGAAATTTCCCTTTTCTAGCTGCCTGATGAGCTGTTAAGATCGTTTTTCTGCAATTGATGTTATATTCAGTACTTGAAGAAGTCATTGAGATGTTAGTTTCTAGTTATATATGACATTGATAGTGCTTCATTTTCTCTCTACTTTATTGGGTACATTAAATGTCTGTGCTAGTTCTACTTCAGTTACTGAGAAATGATCAAGTTTCTCAATATATTTTATGGTTTTCAAAATCCTACAAATGATAATCCTTGCTTATTCTTTGATATAGCTGATACAGTTAAGTGGTGAAGCTGTAACAAGATATTTATAAAAATTGTCCTTTAAAACTGTCATTTTTCTTTCATTGGTGTCATATAATAGAAATAAAATGTAAAATTAGAGGTTCAAAGTTTTAGAGTCTAAGAACTAGGAATCATCTTACTGAAATGACTATTAGTAATGTCCAGTATTGTAGACTATAAATAGTCAGGAAAGATATCATAGATAACTTTAAGGCCTGATCCATTAAAAGTTGATATCTACGTACGAGGGGTCACCAAATTGAGAAAAGATGACATCAGAACAGAGACATTAACTTTTATAAATAGCCTGTGGTGAATATTCTTCAAAGCATTGCCCTTTCATGATGAGAGGAAATGGTTCTTATTTAAATTATATACTGCTTCTAGGAAATTAGCCTTCAGGACTAAGTAACTTTTTAAAATTATTTATGATCATTAAAATCATTTTTCCTGTATGTCTAAAGATAATGTTAAATTTTTCTTTAAATAGTGTAAATTTTGTAACATCATGTATGCAGCTAATATACTTTTCACTTGGAATTTTAGTAGTTCTGAAATTTCAAAGCATATTATGATAGTAAAAAGAAAACACACTGTGGTAAATAAAATCAACTATATAGTTTTGGCTGGGCCAACAAAGTTTGCATTTTTAAGTTAAGAAATCTGCCAGGCATTTGATCAGTATCTATTGAAATAAAAGTAATAGTATTCACATGCATAGGAAGGCATGTTCCATACTCTTATATAACCACAGAATGGTTAAAGATCTTTATAGAACGTAAGTGTAAGATGGTTTGCAATGCATGAATACAAGGTCTTTGTAATAACAAGTTTCATGGTTTCACTTAAGCAAGGTATTGCCCAAAAAGGAAAGTTATTGGAACTTCATATTTGCCTGGAGCTAATGACTGATATAAAATCCATTCACGCAATATTGGCTCTAAGAATAAAATGATAATTATCCTGACCTACATTGTCTTCAAACTATGACCTATGTTTTTCAAAAGATGTTCTGAAAAAAAACCATTTACAGTAAATGTTATCTGCTAGCAGAACTCATATCATCCTTCGGGCCTAAAAAGTTATTTACTGTGTCCATTTCCAAGGTCCTCAGACACCCCAGATGGATCTACCAATTACTAGGCTCTACCTAGTAATCATATTCTTAAAGGATAAAACCCAAAAAGTTATAATTTTCTTAAATGACAGAAGCTTATTGTAGTCAAGTTAGGCATTACTGATGCTAGAACTGAAATTCTCCATTATCCTCTACATATCTGCTGATTAAATGAATTTCTTTTTAAAATGGATTCAATGATGAATTTCATCAAGTCATATGTGATAAAGATTTTTTATTTTACTTTAATAAGTTTTTATAAAACAATTGTGTTACTCTTATAATTGTTTGAGTGTCCTAATATATTTGATACAAATTTGATTAATCAGGAAGCAATCAAATATACTATGTGCTATTTTAACTTTGTGCTTTTGTAGCTTAATTTCAATATTGTAATGATCTTGCTTAGCTTTCTTAAATTTAATAGATGTGTGAGCTACGTACGAATACGTATGATATAGATTCATGCATTCGTAGCATTTACTCCTTGCTCACTCCTATGTTTTCTTGCATTGGTTGTTGCTCATTGTTTTCCTTTACTTTCTTTCCTTTTCTATTTCTCTTTCTATTTCTTTTTCTTTCTCACATTCAAATGCTTCACTTTGTGTCATAGCTTTCCTTTTGTATTTCACTAATATTTATTCACAATTATTTTACACAATTTCTACAAATAAGGCTCTTCCTAGGTATGAGAAACAGAGAGAAGTGAGTTTCCACAGTATCTGCCCAAATCAGGAGACATTTAAAATGGTCCTAATGGCTTTGTCTGAAATTTTTTCCCTTTTTTTCAATGCATATTTTTATTACATTTTTGCACATTTCCTACAATAGATCTTAATCACATTCAGACCTCTCCTCTATATGGGCACCCCATAACCCACTCACAAAATTTCATGCATTTTTGTCATATATATTAAGCCACATCCAGTCATTTGTGTACTCAGCTACACAAACTTGTGAGTTCATCCACTGGAACCCTCTGTGTGAGTTCATCCACTGGAACTCAGTCAGCCTTTGAAGATCACTCCCTTAAAGAAGACTGACTCTCCCTCATTCAGCATTTATCAGTTACCCAATAGTTTTTCAGCTAAGGCTGAGGCTTTGTGCCCATTTCTCTAGCTC